CATACTGAACAATCACCGAAACAGTCCTGGCATGCTCTTAAAAACTATACATTTACATTATTGCTTTTAATTCTGATTCTCACTTCATGAGCTAGGAGGGTTACTCCAACTTAACTAGCGGAAGACCTAAGACAGAGTGTAGTGGTTCTCAACTAGGAGCATCTGGAGCTGCTCTGGAGCATCTGGAAGTGAGGGCATCTGGGTCGCCACACGGACAGCAGAGGTAACCTAGCATTTAGTAAGCAGGAACCATGGATACCAAACAGACCACAACATGCTGGACAAACGCACAGAATCATCCAGCCCCAAATGCTAGCATTACTGAGACACTGACGGAGAATAAATGGACAAAGCCAGACAGCTCACAGTGACTTAACCCGAGCTCAATGACAAAAATCCAAGAAATCACTGGGGACCAACCCAAAGCCAACCAAATATAAAACTGTATCAACTCCTTAAGCTAAAATAGGTCTAGGCTACCTTCTCAAAATGGCAAGAGGAATAAACTAAAAGATGATATAATTCCAATCTCAATACTACTCTGCCACCTTCTTTACCAAGTTTTCCATTTCTGTCTTGTAATTGCCTCAGGGCAGTATTTGAGACCTTTATCTGCAGCTACTCCTTCTAACATCTGATACAAAAAAGTCATCAAGTCTTGCCCAGTTCCCATTCTACTTCCCCTGCTTCGGTTCCACTTTACTACCCATATGGATTAATAGTTACATACTAAGGTTGCCTTGGTTCTATTCTTTTCATCCATGAAACACTGCCCTGTTAATCATCCGAAAGGTCACAGTCTACCTGACAGCCTCTCTCTCACATGGTTACAGTGATTCCTTACTGAACAGCACCCAGGTAACTCAGGTTGACACTCAAGTTTTTCCACCAACTGGTTCCTTATTTCTCCCAACTCAATTAGGATCACAATTTCAATCGTCTCTTTAGTATCCCTCCAAACTACCATAACTCTCCTTTCTCTACTTTTGACCTCACTTAGCCTAGAATAATTTTCCGACTACTTCTTTCCTACCATTCTGAATCTCATCTACTGATGTGCAGAAATGTCAAATGCAATAAATTCAACTGTAGTTTCACTTTGCGTTATGTCAGTAGCTGTTGCTGCAGCTACAACACTTGTCATGTCTTTGCAACCCTATGGACCATAGCCCACCAGGCTCCTCCGTCCATGGGATTCTCCAGGCAAGGATACTGGAGTGGGTTGTCATGTCCTCCTCCAGGGGATATTCCCCACCCAGGGGACGAACCTGCATCTCTTACGTCTTCTACACTGGCAAGGATGTTCTTTCTCTAGCTCCACCTGGGAAGTAGACCCCTAAATAATTCTAATTTCAACTATGTGTAGCTCTACTTAGAATCAAAAAGTTGTTTCTTGAAGAAACCATTTAATACAGCATCTTCATTTTGAAAGTAAGAACAAAAACCGAACTCAAGGACACATAATTCTTTAGTGGCAAGACATGAACAAGAGATAAGGGCACAATTCATAATCAAATGTTAACCCTTAATAAGTGCTTATTAAATGAACTCCAATGTACAGAAAGCCTTTTGTAACTCTGCATTCAATAACCTTACACTGAAAGACAGGTTTACACCTTATCAAAGCAAAGACTGCTGACCATGTTTTCCACAAGTCAGGAAGACAAAAATGAGGTTCTTTGATAATTTTGATACTTAAACTCATGAATTTTTACAAAACTTCAATAAATTTGAAATTCCATTTTTTGGCACAGTCCTTGAAATATTCATATGTAAAATGACCTCATTGTGTTTAGAAAAAAATACCTTAAAAATAAGATCAGGGTAGACCATGGTTACAACAGACTATGATGTAATTCAAAATTATACTAGTAAACCAGGAGTCTAGATAAGGACAACAGCAGCATTCCTAACAATGCCTTCATTCTTCAGTTAGAATCATTTTTCTCCCTTTTACTTATTCCATTTGGGGACAGATGATTATTTTATCCCAATAATTCTGATGCCTAGATTACTTGCAAGAATCAAACTGCACCCACTTCTACATGGCAAGAGGAGAATTAAGATAATTAAATCACTACTATATGACTTGGCATATAAAATTATGCTCTCCTGCTTCCTACCAGCAAGTTCACTCCAACTTCATATTCGCTCCAGAAGCCAAGAAGACTGAACAAAAAGCATGTTTATAATTAGATCAGTCATTTGTTATACATTAATGCAGCAAATACATTCAATTTATCTTGCCTCATTATTGGTTAGATACTATTTAAGTATTCAGATTTCCACAGTTCTTATCTACAGACATTAGATATCAGATGTAAATTCCCTATTTTTTTCCTAATCTCAAAACAGAACTTAATATAGTCCTTTAACATTTAGGAAGATATTCTATTAGTTAAATTAGATATGTAATTCAAATTCTAATAGCCCAATCCCACTTTTAAAAATCTCCTACTCTGTTCCACAGTTAAATGAAAGAAAAGACTTTGATTTACAAGTATATCTCTGTCCTAAAGACATCTTTTAGAACAAATGTATTATAGGCTACAAAGGACTGAAAGAAACTGAATAAAACAGTGAAAATCATAAAAGAGCTAGGGCAAAAGAACAGACTTAGAATAACTCTGCACATTAAATCAGTAAGGGGCTTGGAAATAAACTACAGCTGCCCAGCTTTCAAAACAAAGAATGGAGAAATGAACAAATTTTACATCACATATGGTAGAAATTATATAAGAATAAAAAGATCTTAGTCACTTTCTACAAATCAAAGCCATAATAAAGCTCATGAGCTTATCTTCTACCTAAACTTAACAGGAGGAACAACTAGGTGGTTATTGCAGGTAGGCAAACCAATTTATCACTCTGGAATGTTCACATAAATCTCATAAAAGGGAAAGCAGAAATATATTTGGTAAACTCCTTTCTTAATTTCATTCTAAATATAGTAAGAAAGGTTCTAAAAAAATTAAGTGTAAATGTAAATTATAGGTTTACTTTTCATATAGCATTTAACTATTAAACACGTACAAAAGCAAAAGACTGAATAAGTGATGATTTTGTACACTTGATCCCTGCTGTCATTTGGCAATTAGCATTAGGCCTAACACTTTAACCTCTCCCTTTGTGTATTAATAATATGCTAATTATTCAAATGCATTAGGGATAAAAAGTTTTGTTTAAGAAAAATATTTGGTTTTATAAAGTCAGTCTTGCTTGCAGTACTTATTATATTAAGTTATAAAAGGAGCAGACTGGCTGTTAAAACAGTTATGTACATAAAAAAATTGAGACCACATTGGGTCCCAATTGGGAAAATAGTAAAAATTAAACCCACTGAAAAGAAAACCAAAATAATCTAAAAATAACTAATTTAGTTCCACATTTTTCCCCCTTAGAGTCCAGGTGATACTCCTTTTGGGAACAAAAAAATTTGCTTTTCATTCTAAACAGTCCATCTAGATCAAACAACACACTACTTTTGTCACTACACAGAGTTGTGCTGAACAACTAGTACCCACACTGCCAAAATTTAAATCCCATCTTCACGAGACTAAAATAGGAGCGCTAGACTAGAAAGGTATTGATCACTGGATATAGGAATATCTAAACAAATGAAGTAAAAAATATTTCAGTATCAAGTAGATATTTGGGCAAGAACCACTTAGACATACTGTCTTAGAAACTCACAAATTGAGATCTAGCCTGGTCAGATATTACCATTTTACTAGGTATGAGTGTACTATTGATATTTACTATGAATGAGAGTCTTCACTTAGTAACACAATTCAATGAAAACTTTTATCAGCATTTTGAACATAGCACTTAAATCACAAAGGAAACGAGGCATATCCTGATACCATATATAGCCCTACCTTGAAATGAAGACTTTGAAAGGTAAGGAAATGCAAGATACATGTTAAATCAAATGCAGGCTTCCCACCCCCTCCCTTTCTCAGGAGGCAGATAAATCGAAAATGTGGAGAGCACAGTTCCTTGCTTCTCTGTTTATTATCTGGTGTTTTTTTTTTTTTCCTATTTATCACCAACATATTACTTCAGTAATATATAGGAAGCAGATACCCTGCTGATGGTGAATAAAGCATTTTCTTTTTAAAATCTCAAGCTTAAGTTTAAAAATAAGGGCAATGTAGGTAAATGCCACAGTAAAAGTAAACACAATTTTACTTCAAGTTTAAATAGTTTGAGAGGAATTGTGAAATATTCTCCATTGTTTAGACTGAAAAAATGATCTTGAAGAATGAGTAGATATTTGGAAAAATATGCTATGATAAAATTATAGTTTGTGCATAACCAGGAAAAATATTCTCTATACTAATACTTCAGAGTATAGTTAACCTCACAGTATTTACATATACATCACAAATGTAGACCATGATGGGAAAACATACCAAGGTAGTATAATGCAAATAGAGAAGTATACTAAGAAAATTCTCTAAAACTTCTAGAAAACAGCAACACTTTGTAACTATATAAAATTTACATTTGTTTTCTAATTTTTCTAGATGATCAAGTCAGAAACAAATTCAAATTCAATCTCTAATTCAATAGAATAATAAATAGGTCATAACTGGAACATCTACCATAAACAATATTTTTAAAAAGCAAATAAAATGTGCCTTGTGCAACTGTCTTTAAGCTTCATCCTCAACATAGTCTGTTCAACAGACCACTACTATAAGCAGATATATTTCCCCTTAGAAACTTCTACCTCCTCACAAAGACAGTAATTATTATAGCAAACCTTTAGAACTCTTTTGTGGATACATGTTTTTAGCTATGTATGAATTGAAAGTCAAGAAACAACACGGCAACACACAACCTGAATGTATGCATAATCACCCGGAGAAACACGACCACAGGATTTCACATTAATACCTGATCATACCATTTCCTTGGAATTACACAGGAAAAGCAACTAATCAGCAATAGAGAATGACTGGGGAAAAGTTCAATTCAATTAAATGAAAGGATACAGCCTTAAAGCACCAGTCTGAGTTCCCACTGCCAGGATCTTCTGCACAGGATCAAAGGCCAGGGCTGAGGGTTGATAGGGAAATCCATGGCGAACAGTCTAGGCATGAGCAAGTGACATCACAGCAACCAGGGCAGGAAGCAAAGTTTTAAAACAGAAAAGTCAACAGAGACATTAGAACCTAGAACCAATTAAGAACCAATTATAACCGAAACAAAACACACATAAATGCACTGCTTTTTAAAAAAAAAAAAAAACTATGAAAACTATGAATTCTACATCTCATGAAAACTGCAAGTAAAAACTGAAACAACAACAAAAAAATCGATCTCAGTGTTACATTTCTACTTTCTCATCACAGTGGTACTGTTTCGAAGAAAATTTAACATTCTTTTTACTATTATGTCTGAGAACTAATGATTAAAGTTGGCAGTGGTCAAAATTCTATAAATTCATGCAAAACTACAACTCGTGCTTATTTCAAGTGTGATAACTTCATCCTTACTTTATTTCTATGCTAAATCCAAGTACGTTTACGGAAAAGCTTCATAATTAATTAAGGATTCAGCAAAGGAATTAGCAAAAATCTATCTCATCATGTTGCAAGCATAACAGAATGAAAATAAATCCAGCATCTATTTTTGCATTTTGGTATTAAATCCTTAATTTTAGGACACTGAAGCAAAAAGTATATACACACTTAAACTCTGACTTACGAACGGCTGGTATTTATGAAAGCAGGTATTAATACCGACACAAGTTTGTATTTCTCATTGAGCAGCTGGTGAATTAATTCGCTGCATCATTCTTTCTGAATTACACATCACTATGGCAATTGCCGTACCATTAATAGGCAAAAATTCCACTTCTAACTTTTTCGCCAAACACAAGGCTAGCAAGACCCTGTGATTTCATTATGTGACAGGTCTCCTACCACATTTTAAGGTAAAAATGAGCCAACATCTAGTTGAATACGTCTAGCTTTTTCATAAACAATATTCGTTAGACACTGTTCCCAAAGGAAACTTGGAAGACGGTGAAAGATCTATCAAAATGCTTGAATATAAAGGTCGTTAAGATTAAGAATATGAATTAAAGGTCAGTATGTTGGAAGCAATCCTGAAATGATTGCCGCATGTGAATATCAACGAAAAGAGGAGTAAGATGATGTCAATCTCCAAAATAGCCCACCAAGCAAATGTGTGCTGGGGGAGCGAGCCCTTTATTCGCGGTATTGAGTATTATTGGCGTTCTAGCCCTGTCACTCGGGCGCAAAGCCCGAGGTGCCCCTAGAACGACCCCAATTTTCGCGGGGCTGCGCGCTCCGTTCACCTTGCAGAGCTGAAAGTGCTCGGACTGGAGCGTTTCCTGGATCTCGGGCTCCCGGTTCCCAGGTGGGTGCTGCTGCTGCTGCTGCTGCTGCTGCGAGGCCGAGGACGAGCCGGCAGTCAGGCCGTCCAGCACCTTCCTGATGTTGAATTTCCTCATGGTCGCGGCGGGGCTCCCCCGTACCCCAGGAGCCGAGGTAAGGGGCGTCCCCAGGCGGAGGGGAACCGGCCCGGGCCGAGAGCAGCTTCGACCGAGGACGCGAAGGAACAGGCGCGAGTGGGAGTGTGAGGGGAAGGAGGCAGCTGGGGAGAAGCGAGAGATAATCCGAACAGGAAATGCTGCGACGACGAGAGAGAGCAGCGGCGACATCGTCCGCCCGGGCCCCCGCAGTCCCTCAGCGCTTCCTCCCGCTCCGGATCCGCCTCCTCTTCCTCCCGGGGGTCGCCGGCTCTCCGTCCGCCTTCGCCGCTCGGCCTCCTGGCCGCTCAGCGCCGCTGCCCGCCGGGCATCGCACGCAGGGCGCCCGGGGTGGGTCCCCGCGCTCTCCACCTCGCTTCTCCGCGGCTGGGTCGGCCCGCCCTCGCTCCTTCAGAGCCCCGGCTGCCCTCCTCAGGCACCGCCGTCGCCGCCGCCCGCGGTCCCGCCCGGCCGCTCCCTCTCGCCTCACAGGGCGCCTCGGCACAGGACACCAACGCCCGCTCCGAGCAGCAGCGGCGGCCGCAGTTACAGCGCTGGCCGCGGCGGTGGCGGCAGCTGGGCCTCGGCGGAGCCGGGCTGCTGAGCATGCGCACCGCGCGTACCCACCCCCTCCACCGCCGGAGTGGAGCTGGGGCTTAAATTATCCTCTGCGAAAATCCCAGACCGTGGCTAAATTTCTCCCATCTCAATCGCCCTGCCAGAGGATGCAGCTGCTTCTCCTGCAGCTGGGGTAGTAAAAATGTTGATGACTACCAAGCAGCAGGAAACCTTTATTTCAAAATCGGTCATTAAAACGAGGGTTTATATTCTCACCCTTTAACGAGGCACACACTCCCGGCTGCTGGCTGCAAAGTGATTGTTGCCGCTTTATTGATGGTCTTTGTTTTGAACTGATTTGGATTTGGATTTTGGAAAGAGAACGTCTAGACAACGGTTATTTCTGAGGCAAGAATATGACAGACTTAGAAAGGTACTAGGAAAGAAGATGAACCTAGTGGGAGGGAAATGAATTCTTTCCTGAAGCTCTTACTGTTGGTAGGATGAAAGCGTGGACCTGGCAGGTAGCTGCTATAAGGGGATAGGCTGCAAAAGGGAACCGGCTCCAGGGCTGGATGTCTGCCCCAACCAGTGACACACCAGCCCTGGATTCAGTCCGCACGCTAAGGTGGTGGAGATGGGGGCGGGAGCGAGGATAGAAGTAAACAGCGCGGGCACTCATTTCAGAATCTTCAATCCGTCCTCTAATGCTGTTGTCCACTAAGCAATCTCCAGTAGCTTCTTCACTCTTGCAAGGAGAAAAGGGGAAAGAAGGAAGTTTTCTCTCGAATCTTTCCATTGCTTCACTGTCACAATCTCACTTGGATGCTCAGACAAATGCCTAGCTCAAGTTTGAAAAGATAGATTCACGCTGCGGTTATCTTTTCCGGAGAGTGAGTTTAACACGGAAAGGTGAATGGGAAGCAGGGGTACTTGATTAGGAAGGAGTGGGAACTAGAAAACGTAAAGAAAAGGTTGGAAACCCATAAAGACGAATTCTAATTCGTGAGGTGGGAATGGGAAGAAGCACACTCTCCCAAAGCTAGCAACTCCCAGTCCCTGACGCTTCTGAGTTACAGAGGGTTTTCGGAACCATCAGAAGTGCCCGCCCTCTTCCTTGTGATTGGTCGCCTCTCGCCCGGTGCAGGGAAATTCTCGTCAGGGTATTGGTTGATGTGACAGGCTGTCAAGAACAGTCAACAAACCAGTGGCGACTGAGCCTCGGGAATTTCGGGAAATGTAGTACTCTGGAACTTCCGCATCCAAGAACGATGTCTAACACTTGAAATCTATAAAATTGTTTTAATATTTATTGAATTTAACATATATTGAATATTTATTGAATTACCTAGTTAATTCACGAGGTGTAACCAGCGATAAAAACAAGTTTTAAGATTTTTCCAGGCTATTTCTAAGTGGCTCTGAAATTTTTGTTTACTGATTTAGTTCTGTGAAACACATTTTTTGAGTGTCAAACACTTTGCTAGGTACTGAAGACTCAAAGCTTTCTACAAGCTCCATAGTGAAATGGGAGCAAACCTCAACTAAATAAATAATTGTGAAAAAAATGTGATGAGTTCATTGAGGGAAATCATGCAAGAGAGGGACTGAAGAGGGTTAACAGAAGGCAGGAGAAGGCCTGCAGGTGGGGAACTCATCATAGTTGAGTCCAGGTGAGGAGGAGTTGGCTAGGTGAAGAGGAGGGAGAAGAGCATTAGAAGCCAGCTGAGAGATGGTCAGAATTACCCGGAGAGCTTTTAAAAAATAGGTATATCTCCATAGGAATAAATTGCAAAACAGAGAGATCACCTCCCCACAGAATTTTATGATCCACCTTTTCACCTAGTTTGAAAATATATCTGTTGGATGATTTGTCATCACTGGATTATGAAACTCTTTGGAGAAGGGACAATTTCTTGCTGAGAGGCTTTGTGTTGTAGTGGAAAAATCCTAGACTCCGATGTCTGCCAGACATGGATTTCAATCCAGACGTTGGCAATATGGGCAACCTTGGACAAATTCCTTACTTTTCCTAAGGGTCAGATTCCTCATGTGTAAAATGAGATTAATACTACCTTCTTCTTTGGGTTTTGGAGGATAAACTGGGGAAGAAAAATGTAAAGTTTTCACTAATTAGGTACACATAGTAAAATGGAAAAACTACTATCAGGGTCCTTGGGGAGAAAGGGACTTCAACAGATCACCAGTTTAGGCCAGTACCCCACCAATTTAAGGGGCGGGGACTTTTGGAATTTTGTTTTGATTTTTACACTTCATCCCTCTCATCAGATTATGAACTCGTCCTGACATTCTCAAAACTTTGGTTCCTAGAGGACATATAAACTTTAAACAATTTAAGATGAATATTGACATATCTGCTACTGTAGGTTAGCTTTGTACACTTGCAATCCATCTTCTCCTCTTTCGGAGACATATCTAGAATTCTGTTAGGTAAAAAGCAACAACACTCCCAAGTATCTACTTTTGTGATGGCAAAGATAAAATAAGGGATCCTCAAACTCATGATACTTCTTATCAGTTTCAACTGATCAATTGGTTTTAAATTAGGATTTTATTTTAAAATTAAAATTAATTAGAAATTTAAAGTTTACAATAAAATGACTAAAAGATAATTTATATTATTCATTAAAAAATTTAGCACATAGGTTATTTTTACCCATAGTAATCTCACAACAAAATTTTATTTATTTATTCTTGTTTTGTTTGCTTGAATGAGTCAGTGTATCAATTCCAAACAATTGAATAGCTTTCTGCCTTTGGGAGAATTCAATGGCTTTCTGTGATATTCTCCCAAATGGAATTCTTTCTTACCTGCTTATTGAAGAATGGACCAGGAGATGATGACGTAATACTATATACCACTGACAAGTTATAAATAGCTGTATTATTAATACATTTAGCTGAGTCAGGACAGCTCTAAACAAAATTCAGTTAATTCAATAGAAATTAAAAGGTAAAAAAAAAAAAGTTGATACATAGGAAGAAAGGCAGTTTATTCAATTATTTGGCATGAAAGGCCAAAGACCAAGAATTCATAACATTGCTGAATCTGCCCATCTTCATTATCTTGTTTAAAGGCTACCAGGCTAACAAAGGCTCTGTTATTGGTCTCACAGGGGCAGCTGGATGCTGATTGAGAAGAATAAAGTAGAAACTGAAAATAAATATTTTAAAAAGAAATTATGTTACTGGCAAAAGCTTTCTGGAAGGTAGACAAACTCTACCTCACCTGCTAAGCATTCATTTGTATTGACTTAATTTTCATTTATTGAGTCCCAAAGGATGTGTGCATGACAATAATTGATTCACTACACCATTTAACAGAATATTGAATTTAAATTATCCGTAAATTGCAGTAGAGATGTTAATTAGTTAGTTTGCCTGGTTCACGCCTCCTTTTCTGAATGGGTCCCCTAGGCCCTGCTGAAATGCTAGAACTGGGCACCTCTGTTTTGATCCCATGACCATGTGTCTTGGTCTAAACTGATTGGTTCAAAGGCAGACACCTGAAGTAAGCCAAGCCAAGAGATCACCTTCTTCTGGGAATCTGGAATTGAGTCATAAAGATGCTGCCGCTGCTAAGTCACTTCAGTCGTGTCCAACTCTGTGCGACCCCATAGATGGCAGCCCACCAGGCTCCTCTGTCCATTAGCCTCAAACTAAGAAGTCATGTAGAGCTGGGATTAAAGCTGAGAGTGCCCAGACATTTATGGAAGCTAGGAGAACCGAGCAGACACATAAACTCTACCAGAGAAGTAACTCTAGTGAGGTGGGAAGTCTCCATTCCTGACTTTCCAGTTCCCAATCCTTATTCCTTGGGAAATCTGACAATATTTTCTTTCTTTGTGTTCATGAGTTACAATAGGTTTCTGGTTCTTGCAATCATATGTTCTGGTCAGAAATTTAGGTACACCCTGCCCCAAATGTAAAGGAATGTAGAGATATTGTAGCCATTTTGCACTGCCCTTTTTACTTTATACTCACAATTCTCCCTACAGTTAACAGGCTACTGCAGTAGCCCAGCAAGCCAATGGTGGCTTGGAACAGTTAAAATTAGTGGTTACTGTGTTAAAGGGTCTGACTCTGAATTATATGTTAATGGTAGAGCCAAGATCTGCTGACAGAAATGAGGGAGGGTATCAAAGAAAGAGAAGAGGGAAGGATAATGCCCCCGTTTTCAGCCTGAGCACTTAGAAGAGTGGTGTTGCAATTTAATTTCCACATTTATGACTTCTGGAGAATTTCCAGTTACCATTTGTACCAGCGTGAACTGGACAAATATCATCAGCTAAATAAACAAGCCTTGTCTGGGAACAAGCAGGATCCATGATGTTGTGATCTTCTTTGTCAACCTCTGGCCTTTCTAGAAAAATAGATTAGGCAGAAATTAACGAGCCTTCATTATTCCATGGATTACCTCTATTACTATTTAATATTATTTGTAAGATTATCATTAAATAATAATACAAAAGTGCCTAGGCAAAGATCAGTAAGTTCAAGGGAAAGAAAATTGATCAGTAATTAATCAGGATTTGATTTAGGTCATACCTGAATGGTCTAGTGGTTTTCCGTATGTTCTTCAATTTAAATCTCAATTTTGCAATAAGAGTTCA